AAGACCGTTTCATCTGGTCTGTGACGCCAGCGATTTTAAAATCGGCTGTGCGTTAATGCAGTTCCATGCAGATGGCGCGGAGCGCGTCATCTGTTATCAATCGCGTCAGCTGCAAGCAGCTGAGCGTAATTTACCAGTTCATGAAAAGGAACTCCTTGCCATGCAGTACGCACTGGCTAAGTTTCGTGTCTATCTCTTAGGAGATAGACCGGTTGTTGTCTATACGGACCATGCGTCATTACGCACGGCCGTAAACAGCTCACACCTCTCGCAAAGGATGGCGAGGTGGCTGTCTTTCTTCGCGGAGTATAACGTCTCCGTGGAGTATAAACCAGGACGACTCAATGTCGTCGCTGATGCGCTTTCTCGCCGGCCCGATTTCGAGCCGGACGCACAAAAGCAACAGTGAGGATAAGCCCACTGTTGCGACACTGTCAGTCAGTGTCCCGTCGTCAAGTTTACTTGGCGACGTACGAAAGGCATACGCAGAAGATAAGGATCTTCTGCGATTGATGGATCATCTGTTGAATCCATCCAGTAAATCCATGAGGGATTTATCGGCTTTGTACCGATCCTCATCGGATCAGTATAGTACACGCAACGGATTGCTGTACTATACAGCTGTTGCCGACGACACGCCTCGTGTCGTCGTCCCCGCTCATTATGATTTGCGTTTACGCATCATGTATGAGTGTCACGATGCCCCAACAGGCGGGCATCGTGGTAGAGAAAGACTTACCTCACGGTAAGTCGTGACTTTTACTGGCCCCGCCAGTATCAGTTTGTACGCAAGTACATACGTGCTTGCGAGGTTTGTCAACGGGTGAAGCCTAGTCCTTCATCCCTTGCACCATTGCAGCCTCTGCCTGTTCCGACAGAGTGCTGGCATTCCGTTTCAATGGACTTCGTCTTCGGTTTTCCCGAAGACGCTCACAAGAATAATGGTATTCTTGTGTTTGTTGACCGATTCAGCAAGATGGTGCATCTTGCTGCAGTCCCTGAGTAGATCAAGGCTCAAGTTTGTGCTCGTGTCTTTCTAGACACGGTCTTTAGACTCCACGGGCTACCCCGTGAACTCGTATCCGACCGTGACCCTCGGTTCATGGCGCATTTTGGCAAACCGTGTTCCGCACATTGGGAACACGATTGAAGATGTCTACTTCTGACCATCCCAAAACAGATGGTCAGACGGAACGTGTGAACCGTGTCCTCGAAGAGACCCTTCGAGGATATGTCCACTCGTTTTCGAGTTGGAGCGAATTCCTACCCATGGTGGAATTTGTCATCTATAATTCGGTGCATGCTTCCACACAGCACACACCGTTTTACGTGAATGGCCTACGCCATCCACATGTGCCCACCCTTCTAGAGTGTTACTCTTGGATAAGGGGGGAGGGACTCGCTCGAGCAAAAACCGTTTTGGCTCTTGCTCATCACGTGTCGACGCTAACGTCGCCACGTATCATGCCGATGTCGATCAAGTCGACATCGATGAAAAAGATCACCTCAACAATAGCGATGACGCTATTATTGACTCGGGTGATGATGACGATGCTGGTATATTCAGCATCGTCAACGATTATGCCAGCGAGGAAGAAGACAACCTCGCTAAAGAAGAGAACAATCTCTTAGCAGTGCGCACGAAGCGCACTGAAAGACAAAACAAAGTCAGCAGAGAACTTCCTGCTTACTCGAGAGGCGGTTGTCCGTTTCGTTCAGGACGCCATCGCAAATGCGGTGGACCGTCAGAAACGGAACGCAGACAAGAATGGAAGAGCAAATGTTCTTTCATTTAAAGTTAACGACCTAGTACTACTGTCTATGGTAAACTTACCTGGACACGCAGTCACTAGTGTCGGCAGTAGTAAACTACTGCCGAAGTACATTGGGCCATTTCGAGTGTTGCATCGCAAGGGCAATGCATACATGATCGAATTGCCACGTAAGATGCGCAAGCATCCTACGTTTTACGTGGGGAGGCTGAGGCCGCACTGTCAGTAGGAGCCTTCTTCTTCCGATGAAGATAGCCCCCACGTTCTAGAACATCCATAAAGTTCTTGCGTTCGCGCTCCAGACGATCCGTCTGGTCGCGCAGATATGATACCTCGGAACTTAACCGAGATATCTCCCCGCGAGCTGTCGCCAGCTCGCCGAATAGGGAGCGGACACCCCGCTCTACCTGAAGCTGCGCCGTGGCATAATCGGCACGATCCCTCGCCCGATCAGCCTCGTGATCCTTGCGGTTCTTCCGCACGGTATCATTCAAAGCGTAGCGCCGGTCGCGCTCGTGCTTCAAGTCATCGCGCAATTCATCGATTGCGCGATCCATCTCGTAAGGGTCGAGATGGTGGGCCTGGGGCTCTAGAGGAGGTCTTTCCTCCTCCACCACATCCTTTGGTGGATGCTCACGGTGATCAACGCTTCCTAGTGGAGCGTATCTTGAATCACCGTGACGATTCAGGATCAAGGACGAGCTACCTCGTCCAGTGGCGGGGGTATCCACCCTCTTATGACAGCTAGGAGCCCCGCTCTCAGCTGTTGATGGATGTTGAAGGTCTCGTCCGCCAGTATGACGAGACCCATCCGATTAGTCCTCGGGCCCATTGGTAAACACGCGCTTTAGGCGCTTGTAGACGGATTGCAAGTTTGCAATCGCGTCACGCATCTCCTCCGAGAGATGTGCCCTTCCCCAGGGTGAACTTAGGAAATACACGTCCCTATGTGCACGCTGCGAGTTGTCAACACAACTCGCACAAGGGTCTCTCCATGTGAGGCAAGGAATGTCTGCCTCACTCGACAAACAGTGCAACCGTTACCTGGCACCGGTTGGCGTTCGCTTTTCGAACCTGAGGCGTGTTGCCTCAAGTTTCTTGAGCCACCCTTCTCGTCCAAAATTCTTTACGTTTTGGACGAACGCGTTCCACGCAGCCAAAAGCGAGGCTTTGTCATGCTTTTGGTTGCTGTTGTACCATCGATGTCTAAGGAAGACATCGAGATAAAAGTCTTCCTCAGCGTGAAAGTTGCTCGCGCTGGGATTCAAGCCGTGAAGCTCAGTCGCATCGAATAAGGGTATTCGATGGTGTTGGCTTGTCTCGTGAGACAAGCCATTGATGAGCCGTTCGGGCAAACGCCACGGCTTCAGCTCATCACGCTTCACGGTGGTACCTTTTTTGGTACCACGGTTGTCAGTATGACGATGGGTTGCACCATCGTCAGGTCGCTCGTGCGTAGGAGCACGAGCTGATTGCGGTGATGAGCAAACATACTCATCACCATATTCGTCATCACTGCCGAACAGACTGTGTTGCAACTCACGAGTCCGTTCGTTCGGCTATGGCCTTGGCGAACACTGAGGCGTCGCCGGTGAGCGAGACGCCTCTGCAGCATTGCGCGAGTCAGACACGTCTGACTCGCCAGAGTAGATGCCCATAATGTCGGGGTCATCATGCGCACGCGGCGAGGTGCCGCGTGCACCTGCAGCACCTCTTGCTGCAGGCGACGAACGAGCAGCAGACGATGAATCGTCTGCCGCAGAAGCTGGCACAGGCACAGACTCTGTGTGCCTTGAGTCACCCCGCATAGACATGTTAACTATGCGAGGTCGAGCGGAAAGTGAATGGAACGGACCCAACAAGTGCTCCCTGTCCCAATGGCGCCCAACGGGTGGCCGCCAAGTTTTCGATAGTCCTACAGTGATTATCAGTTAAGGGGGGGGTGATGTAACGGGGCAGCCCGTTACATGGAAATTGTCACTTTGAGGGATAATGACAATAAATAATATTATGTTGAATATTCTTTTAACAATATCACCAATAGTGGTAATATTGGTGAAGCGACCAAAGAGTCTGCTCATTGGTTGATATCTTGATGATATCAACCCACCAATTGTCGCAAGACGCGCGCAATGAGTGGTGACGAGACGTCGTCATACACTCAGTTATATTAGCATAACTAAGTTAAGTCAAACAGAGAGACAGTGGTTAAATACTTAATTATATTAATATAACAGTTCTGCTTTTTCCTTACCTACGCTTCCTCGCTTGCCTTATGTACGTCTGTCGGGGCACCGATACCCTTGCGTTAAATTCACGCAAGGGTGTGCCCCGTTACACCCATGCTACATCTGTTCGTCCGCAGCGTTGGTGATACAAGTGCAGAGTCGGCGGCACGAGTCTTGAAGGTCCACTGCGGGCATCTGCTCTATCGATTGGACAGTGTAATTCCTTGCCAAATGTCCATAAGTGCTCGCGGCACTATTCTGTCGAACTTCTTTCCTCCAGGAAAATATTGAAGAAAGTGCGGCATATATCACTCGCCCTCGTTCGTAACGAGCATCATCATGATCATGAATGTCGGCCATTTTAATCCTCGTTACGAGTGTGAGCTAACAAGAAATCGGTGAGCCGGTACGAGGTCGTGCAATCTGAAATTCGCTGAGCTACGCAACGCCAATCCTAGCATTCCTGCCTTGCTAGAAGGTGGATCTGATCCGACACAAACCATTTAGCGTACGCAGAAAGCACGTCAAGCACGTCAAGCACGTCAAGCACGGTTTATTCTCCATCAGAAATGCAGTGTCATGCACAGCACACCCTCTTCAAGTGTTCTTTTCCGACACGAAGATCACTCGAAAAGAGCCTCTTCCGGAGCTTTGTACACCTCCCGCACGAACCTCTTGACTTCAGCTCGACGAAAATGAGTCATGTTGCAAAGAGCTGCGCGACGGTCCAAGCTGACTCATACACGCAGCAATGCTCTACAGTGGTTGTGTTTCTGCATCGTCAACCATCAGGCACAAATGTTTCTACAGCAGAGGTTCCAGTGTGAGCGAGTATGATTCCTGGTGGGGCAAGAAGTACTGTAATTGTGCCTGCCAAAAATTCGCTCATCCAGTTATATGAAATTTGCAGTTTTTCTGCCGCAATTTCAGTAGACCCGGTATATACCGGTACAGTCGAAAACCAATCCTTGTCCATTGGCTATTCAGTTCACACTTGCCAATGCTGCAGCGTACGAGCTGCCTCGCGCGTGGCATCATCGATCGAGAAGAAGCTCAGTGTGCACTCACTCGTCGCGTATATGCGGAAGTAAGCGTCACACTTTTTTCTCAGAAACGATCGGAAACGCTCAGTACTACCAAACGATATTCATCATAAGATCTCTTTTATCACATGTTGTGTCTGTAGGTGCAAAGCATTCTGGATGAGATCGTGTACGACGTCGAAAGCTGTGAACACGAGTGCGAGCTTGAGAAGCTGAGACGTCAACTGGCCGTGGCTGAGAATTCGCTAATGGGGTATCTCGAGCGTGAGAAGAATTTGATTCTGGAGAGACAGCAGGTCAACCAAAGCTTTGTGCTTGAGAACGGAGAACGCTTTTGCAGGGATTGACAAGGGGTATCAAATTTCCATATACAGGCGTGCGAACATCTTGTCAAGGTCGAGCAAGAGGGAAGAAAGATCTGGACAAAAGTAAATCAGCACATGTCGATGGCGATCACGGAGCTCGCCACGAAGGAAGTGTACGTTGAATGCGTCATGTTTTACTCGACCATTGAACGCGGTCCGCTGAACATAAGGTACTTGCAGCATCGAAAACGAATTGCAACAGGCAAAAGAGCAATTGAGGTTGGCTGGTCAGCTCTCAAAGGAGTTGACGGATGCACAGCGCGAGATCCGGGAACTGCGACGTTCGGATGATGTCCAAACCAGCTTTCAGAGAAACATTTTGGCACGAAATTCGAGTATACCGCAACGGGTAGATCACGCGCCAGCAGAGGCAAGGTCAACGTCTCAAGGACTGCCGGATGTAGTGAAACAAAGTCAGAACACCTTCTCACAAATTCCGGACAACGTGATGCGTAAGCTGTTCTCATTTTTGGACGAAGAGAGCATGGTCCGGATAAGCCTTGCGGATAAAGTGCTGGTTCGACGCGTAAACTATTTGTTCAGGGTCACGACACCTTCTAGCCTGGCAAAAAGCGCTCCTTGCACCCCTGCAAAACAATCTATACCCAGGCCGCAGAAGCGAGTAGCGACTCGAAGTCTCAGCTTTGTTAACTCGTCAGAAAAAGACAAGGTATTGCGTCACGTGTATGGTGTACCCTATTCAGTGTATGCTCATAACGATACTTCGTAGGCTGGACCAACACAGTTGTCGAAGGTGGATGCAATTGTGAAGTCGTTGAAACCTGATCAGATCAAACTTTTTCACGACATGTCGATGAAGGTGAAGACACTAGAGGTAAGCCGCTACTTCGAGATCAGTTGCTTACACAACGAGAAGCTCACATTTTCCTTGCAGGCCCATCTTTCTCAGGTGCAGACCGAAAAGGAAGACGTTGCTGCACGCCTGTACAACGCAGAAAGTGTGCGCGACTTTTTGATGAAGAAGCTAACAAACACCGAAGATATGCTTGACGACATCAGGACAGCCTGCGCAAAGAAAGACGAGCAGGTTGCAATGGACCACGAGATTATCGGGTTTCTCGATGCAAAGACGCAGGAGTGCGAAAGCGCGCTGAAACAGTACGCGCACCAAAACAGCAGGCTTCGAATGGAAATTGAGCAGCTTCGCGAAAGCCACCGCTCCAACACCACGGTTCGTTGTTTTTTTTGCTTGACGTTGCACGCTACGTTTTGATGTCGTATTGCCCTATGCTACAGATCGTCCAAGACATGGTCAAGCTGCTGACAGAAGAGAAGAAAGAGCTCGAAGCTCAAGTACGATCCCAACGCAAGATCCTGGTGCGCGAAGTCAAGGTGCTCCGGGCTCAGAACCGGCAACTCGGCACTGAGAAAGACCACTATTTCACACAACTCAAGCAACTAAAACACGCCCTGAGACATTTGGATGAGCTCAGCTGAGAATCGTATTGCACAGAGGGGTATAGTCACGTCAAGGTCGCGAGAAGGATAGTATCGGCTTACCGCTCATAGGCGACCATAGTGACGTGGTGCACTGCGCTGCGCTGAGTCGCTACATAGGGCACTTATGTAAGTGTATAGTGTGCGTTCGTTGCAGCAGGTCAACGAATTCAACATCGATACTAAATGCGGTCCGTAGTTGCATCAGATTTACTTTTATTACTCGTGGGATGACAACGTTAGCACAAGTTTGAGCACTATTCATGACGGGCTGTGCTGTGAGGTGCTGTTGCACCGATATGCTGCTGTGCTAAGCACTATTAGCTACAGACGTCGCAGTGTATCCGCGATAAGAAAGGTTCAAACGGAATAGCACGTTTCTTGAGCAACGCGGTAAGGGCAGCCTCGTCAGGTGTAGAAGCACCGCATGAGCCACGCGCCCAATATTCCATCACTGAACTAATGCTCTACGTACACAACACTATTATGCAATGCGAGGTGTGCGAGAATGTGCAAGAGCAGGTCTATACATGACTTACCGACGAAAACGCCGTTGCTCAAAGACCACTTATCAATTTCCTGTAGGTCAGTCCTTTTAGATGGCGCAATGACTGCATGTGTGAGGAACTCAATCGACTTACACTGGACGACGTATAACTCGATGGATGTGCAAACTTCCACATCCATCCAGTTATACATCGTACAGAGCCTCGACGTGAGCGAGTACTGGGCTGTAGTCATTCCAATTACCATTGTCACACCGAGTGACCCTGCCTGTCTATGATGCCAGCGGAAAAGTGGCATGAAATATGACGTCGACAAGAAGAGCGGAAGGGAAGTAGACAGTGCGTGGCGTGCGATTGAGTGAGGTAATGCAGAACGGCCTGCGCAACTTCTTGCAGACTTACCCTTCATGAAATTGCTTCGTGACAATGGAAACGACTTGGCATTGGGATGACGGTAAGGATGGAATGACCACAGAGTATTGCTTTTTGCAGTGAACATCTCGGCTGTGATGATTGGTTGAACAGACTGGATATGCTAATACCGCGAGGAAAAACAATTGAGCTGCGGTGATATTCGATCACATTGTTGAGCGCATGGTATAAAGGCATATCAACTGCCTCAACATATGACGAGGTCAATTTATATGTATAACATTCTTCCGTGCGGCCGTCTTCGTAGCCGGCTCGATTATGCGCGCGAGGTACTGGAAGGTGTATTGTCAACTTAGGCTCAATGCATTCTATGCTTAACGAACATCTGTGCGTCTCGATGGATGGCCGTCTACCTCAGCGATCTCGCGTGGAGTTGAGCCATCCCTGCGTCGGCTAAACGCAAGTGCTATCTATTTACCAGTATGGCCGAATAAAGTTTGCTTTGCCAACGCTAGGCATGAACGTATCAGCAAGCCGCGAACGACGATTATCTGGAGTACGGACGTTATGTTGTTATACCTGGCATTTCGATAAGCGCTATCTAATCTGATCAACGTCACACATTTAGCCAGAGAATATGGTTATTGCCGCCTGGTCGAGCCCCCCCCCCCTCTCCTGTACAGGTCAGACGGTAGGACAGCGGTGATCACCTAATGCTAGATCCGACCATCTCTCAACGTCACCTCAGTCACTGTCGTCACGCTAGCCGCCTGCCAAACCTCGGTAATACAATTCGACGACATCTGCTAGGGGGTCTGCACCTCAGGACATCGGCCTTTACGCTTTTGCAGGAGGAACACTGTTGGTCCATATAACCAACGTTCCACCAACCTATGTCATTGCAATGCCCGCAACAATCCGTAGTACACTTGTCTCGCAGGCCTACTGTAACGGGGCACCGACGACTACGTACTGGTTGACCAGTACGGAGTTTACTATCACTGACTGTAGTGATAGCCAGTGCCCAGCTAGGTGTAGAACTACACAGAGGAAGGCATAAGGACTAAGGTGAAAGACTTAAGTCGTAGTAAAAGTGAAACTGTTATTAAAATAATTAAGCCCTATTACTCTTGTATCTCTGTTTGTCCTGACTTAATTATATCAATCTAACTAAATGTATGATGACGTCTACTCACCACCCATTGCGCGCGTCTAGAAGCGATTAGTTGGTTGATATCATCACGATATCAACCAATGAGTAGACCCTTCGTTCATCTTCAACAATATCATCATGCTCTCTGATATTGTTAAAAAAATTCAACGTAATATTATTTATAGTTATTTTCCTCTTAGTGACAATATCATGTAACGGGCTACCCCATTACACCTACTTAATATATTAGCTGGACAGATCCGGTAGATCGCTTGATTCAAGCTCGTCTACATGACACTGGATTGCCATGCAAACAAGACTGGCATGTATTCCCTCGACATGATCAAGCCTGGGCTTATGAAATACTTCTTGACAAGGTTTGTCCGTAATCTGGTCTAAGACACGGTCGTAAACCTTCATGAAAAGCAACTAGGGGTGTACCAGATATTGCGCATGTCCACGGACCTGGAACAGCAGCCAACAAAATTAACATTGACGTCGTGAAGCCGATGCAGTGCCTCGGCACCAAGTTTTCACTGTCATGGACAATGCTCTGCCCGCGTCGGAATCGAGCAACTGCAAGCCATTCTTGTATCGAACTTGAAGAATTGCTAAGGAAAGCACATCATGAACTCCTGTCTCACCCAGGCTTCGCCGGTGTGCGTAGAGAGAAGATTGCGAGCCCAGCAATTTGAAGTCGACCAAATTCCAAACATCGATTGAAAAGACCAGGCTATCTTTCCACCGAATCTACTAAGAGTTTTCGAGGACGAAAAAGGTCGTTCAACAATACGACAAACTTCTATATATACCGCCGCAATCGTAATGCGCTTTATGATAAAAATGTGGTGATCGAGTAGAATCTATTTAGTCTCTACAAAAGGTTTTACAGATGTCATACATTGGATTATCCGTCTTATCAGTTCGTTTGGAGAGATGAGATGTGTATCGTTCAAATACGTCATTGTATGCGCAATAAGCTCGTTACGTGTATACCGATTTGGTCAATGTGAACATTATATTTAGGGAAGCGTTAACCACCCCCCAGGTTTTCGTTAACCACCCCACCCCAATATATTACCGAATTTATATACTTTCCATGTTTTTGATTGGTCGTAATTAAACATCATATTGCTAATTACTGACAGCCAATCCCAATACAAGAATTGCATCCTTTTTTCTTTCGCCCACACGCTACTTTTTCAACTGTTCAAGAATTTATTTCAGCGCTTAAGCACCATGGTCAATCATTCTCATATGGCTCTGCTACCACCTCCTGAAACTACGCACGATACGCTGGATCAAGACCGTAAGACACTTGATGAACATGCAGGATATCAAGGCTATGTCCTAACGATCAAGCGTATTAAGAAGGTGGGTAACAGGAAAGATGGCGCAATCAAACGTATCCTTTTATGGTGTTCACGGGAAAATAGATACAAGCCAGTTGATGTTAACGAAGAATAGCAAGGAGAACAATCAAGCGCATAAGGGCAAGTAGAAACCTTGGCTGCCGTTCGAGGCTGTCATTTAACGCATTGATGAGCGCTGGCAAGTTACAGTCGTTAGAGGGAAGCAAGATCATGAAGCCTTTGATGATCCTCTGCACATCTGAGTGGTCGCGCGTTGAACGAAGAGGACCGCGGACGAGTCCTCTAATTTACCAGTTCTGGTGTCAAACCTGGTACTATTGTTGCTTCTCTCCACAATTAAAGCATCATGAAAGTCACCACTCAGGATATTTACAACATCCGTAACAATGATCGCGCTGTAAGGCTACAAGGTAGAACACCTCTTCGGTCACTGCTAGACGGTCTTGTTGCTTCAGGCGTACATTACCATATTGCACGCGAAGAAGATGGACAGAATCAGACACAACTTTTTGTTGCTTCTCCATCGGCCGAGGGGATTTTTTCAAGATATACTGCCGGGATAGTATGGCTTATAGACTCTACATACAAGACCAACCGATAAAGTCTACCCTTGCTTCATATTGTCGGAGTTACCAGCACGAACCATATCTTTACTCTCGCATACTGCTTTATGCAAGTAGAACGAGAGGCGAATTACGTCTGGGCGATGCAAAAGCTACAACAGGAATTTTTCAAGATGGTTATTATCTCTAAGACATTTTTCACAGACCGAGAGCTGGCTATGATGCGCGCGATTGGCACAGTCAATCTGAACGTGAACGGGTTGATTTGCCGCTGGTACATATCAAAGAACATTCTTGCCAAGGACAAGAAGTCCTTCACCACTAGCGATGAGTAGGAGGCCTTTCGTTAAGCCTGGAACATCTTGGTGTCACAAGACCGGATTGAGAACTTCAAAGATAAATAGAAAAATATGCGCGAAAGCTGGGGCATACCGCAGCCGCAGGTCATTTGATATGTCGAGAAACGTGGCTGTGTTGGAGAGAGAAGTTTGTGACGTGTTTTCTCCGCAACAAGCGACACTATGGACATGCCACCACGTCTCGCGTGGAAAGTGCACATGCTGCTCTGAAACACTGGATCGGATCCTCGACTGGCAATCTTCTGTCTGTCAACAACGCTATAAAGCTAGCTTGCGATGAAAATCTAGCTCGTATCAAGCAAGAACATGCAAAAGAGCGAGCGACGTTTGACATGAGATTTGGTAGTCTATTCAATGATGTCATGGGATAGATCTCGGAAGCTGGCCTGCGTGCAGCCTTCCGCCAATACAAAAATCGATCTGATAATGATGTCGATGACGACGGAACCATCATTTTTTGCCAAGGTAAGTATAAGAGATGTCACATGATAGTACACTAGGTGCAGCTCAAATTCCTGTAACATTTTTGCAGGCTTGTTAACGTCGGTAATGGGATACCCTTTGCCGACATTTCTTTTCCGCTAGACGCATATCCCTATCTCTTGATATTTTCGACAAGCATTGGTGGATGCTGCAGCCGCCCAAGCTAGTTAGTCCACACCATGTCGTAGAAT